TGTGCCTTGATTGGATCACTCCGGAAACCAAAAGCCTTTTTTCGAGTTTTTTTTTAAGGCAGATTTTTTGAACTACAAAACCAGCTCAGCGGGTGGCACTACCGCTACATTTCGCTCTACAGCCTTTTTATGGATATCATGTTAACGAACTTGGCACAACCAATTGAAATTTCCAATACAGACGAGTTTTTATAGAAAACGTTTTATTCTTTTCATAACAAATAGATATATCACATTTCAGATGAGATGTCTGCCTTCATAATGTACTCTTCTATGCAGCAACGTCAGCGTGACCCTGTAACATTAAAATAAAATATACTGGGCAAAAACTATAGTAGAGTTCAAAGGATAGAGAAAGTGCAATGTTAAAGGCAAGCGGCACAATAAATCCTCAGGAAGTGTAGGGTTGGTACGCCTTGCAGGACAGATTTTGCCGCCCCTGAACAGGCACTGCGTGACGCCTATTCTGAGGGAGGTACCCCTGTAGCTCCCTACCAAGCTTCAACAAACCGACTCCAATACCCGCCGCACCCGCCCGCCCACAAAAGTCCGACCGATGCTGATGCCTATGTCGTGTCATTTGCGAAGGAATTCATACAAGGGATGAAGCGGCTGCGGTGCTGCATGGATATATGAGTACATACATGCAGCCGTATCTACCGTAGCGGTTATTGGCACGATGCCAACGGGAAACTCGTCCGAAATTGCTTTCTGAGTCGTGTAGAACAAAGGCTTTTTTGCAGGTTTTTGACCGTTTCACTTCGCTTTTTCGCCATTTCCCCACTATTTAGCATCCTTGCTACCATCCTAGACCGAACACCGAATTATCGTGCCTCATGCTTTCAAATGAGGGCTATGTTTGAGATAAGCTCTATTGTCGCCGGTACCACTAAAGGGAATCATTCAGATGAAATAGCCACATTCCCCAACTCTTTTTAACTAAGAACAACAAGTTCCAGAACTTATTTGTGTCCTGCGGTATTCACTCGTCACATCTCTAGTGGTAAGTGGTCAAATGAAAAGGGGGGATTCTCTGGGATGTAGCGACATTTTGAAGATTCTCTGAATCGATTTTGGGGCATTCCTCGGAACAGAAGTTGTAAGCTTTTTTCCCATGCGTTTGTTTGTTACCCTTGCTATTAGTCCGTTGCTTTCGCCATCTAATTTAGGAATAATGATATTATCAACTAATTTTAATTCAAAATCCGCGACAACGCCGATGGAGGCTGAGAAGTTCGGTGGAGACCACAAACCGTACATCCTCATTGGTGCGTCCTCCATTATTAGCACGATAAAGAATAAGGGAACACCAGTACAATAAAAGGTACAACGACTGTGAGTTTCCGCCCATTTGATAATCGCGTGACGCATCCTTAAGTGTTTCATTTCCAAGCTGCCTGAAACTGAGCCCGCTGCCTTCTGCCAAGAGACGGGAAATCACGTTCGCTACTGTTATTGGTTTTCTGGCCATAACTCCATGTTGCCTTTCCCCTTGAAGTTGAGCCAATTCTGCTCACTTTTTTGCAATCCTTCCAAGGAATCAAGTATTAATTTTTCACATTTACTGCGTCTTGAAATTGGAGTTGAGTGACTTGAACAGCATTACAAACTCTCTAATGTACGGGAAACTGGACGTTAAACGTTCCATTCAACTTCTGGGCAGTACGAACCAAGGTCAGGTTCACATACAGCCAACTAGTGGAGAGCAATGTGCACATTTTTCGAAATTGCTCATACTGTACTTAGAGAGAGAGAGAGGGAGAGAGAGAGAGTACCAAAAATTTTGATTTGATTCAGTGCTTTGACTACAGTACCACTGCCCAGCATCAGCCTGAAGTTCAGGATAGCTCAGAAGACTTGAGATTCGGTACCCCTCCAGACTAACTAGGTGAAAATTATCATGTTTTCAGAAGTAGTGGGTGTATTAGATTAACTCGAATAACACCCACTTCCCTCCGAACTTCGAAACACCTTGTTGTCTTGTGTTAATCGACTTCCACGCTATCCGAATTTCATTGAGAAATTCAATTCCGTCAATCCAATCCAATAACGACTAAAATCTCCCCCACACGCGTTCGTGAGAGAAGTAATAGCAACAATTTTATTAGTACATTAGTGTAAGCACATCGACGACAGACAATACACCCCACAACTTTTCAATTAGCTTTTCTAGCGGTATTCTATCTATCAACAAAAAAAAAACTTGAGTGATTCCTGGAACTAAGATGTTTAAAGGACGACTCCCTAGTCTGAAAAGTGCGGGAGTTTGACTAACTTTTATGTTTACTATGTTGAAGGTAGGTTTTCTAGACAGTATAACCGTGGGACCAGCGCTGGAACATGTTCGAACGATGGAAGTTTTGAGAGTTGTATTTGAATAAAAAACAATTCTGTAGACAGTTCCCGCGATCAAGTGGTCCACAAATGCCTCCGTGCAGGCATCGTTGGCCGCATTCGCCGAGAATATACCACTTTCGTTACTCGAAACGGCGGTGTAAAGAAGTTAGAGATGCGTGATTATTGCAACCACTGCACTTTTACTTTCACTCTGCAAGACAACGGCTTACAAACGAACTGTGTGTACATAGCGTTGCCTGGATTGTCGTAGGGTATTTTCTGTGCTCTTGCCGGACTTGGCGACGTCCGACAAACTCGTCCAAGGCGCCCACTGCTAAGGGGGGGGGGTCTCTTCTTCAGAGTGTTCCCCAGGTATTTTTTTCGCTTTTCCTTCCACAAGAGAGTTACTTATGGGTTACTGGTTCATGGCTGACCACCTACTCCCCTTAGCGCGTGATCGCAGGAATTGTCTTCGAGTTGAAAGAAACTACCGACAGAGTGGAGGTATGATAAGTATGAAATGAACATAAAGTGAGAATTCAACTTCAAATCATCACTTTGACATACACAATGTTCCTTCCTTTCCTTACTGACACTCCAGAAGAAGTAAACTACAGTGCGTCTAATGTAGAAAACAGCCTCAGAGTTGTGGTGGGCGCGACAACTAAAGAGGCGTCAGAACTGCCACTTATGAGGGCCATTGCGCCTTCGTTACTCACTGTAAAGCCGCGAAAGTGGGAGAATCCTAGGGAGTGAAGAGCAGACCTCTACTGCAGAGAAGGACGCCAACGAGTTGGTTGAGGAACTGTCTCTAATTCTTCCCATCGTATAGAAGCGAAATGTGTCTTTAAGTCAGGGATCTCAATGATTGGATTTTGTACTCACCTTATATAAGTACCTCTGGTTGAGATGCAGCAAGTAGACGACCAAATGTCTCTTTATATAACGTCGGTCCAGATGCTTTTTCGGCTGTTATGCAAGGCGTATCGTAATCGGCTTTAGCATTACGGTTACATAGATATTTACAAAGCGTATCTTTGAAACTCCGTGAAAATGTCACGTAGATGATGAAGTTAAAACTGAAATACTACCAGTTAGTCCAGAAAAACTCAATCGATAGTTGATAAGGAAGCGAAAATTATCGCAAAGAATCAGGGAGTATTAGTATAAGGGGGAAGGAGGGTAGAGATTTGAAACTTCTACTCGTTCAGTATTTTCCTTCTTAGTTATCAGTACGATGATCTATGGAATGTAGTCTGTGCCGTAACGGAAGCTTTCAGCTTATCGTTGGCCCATCTCATAGTGGAAATGTCAAGGGTTCAAGGGCAACAGTGTAAAAGGCTGGCCGACGTCGCCTAGTGACTGTCCTCTTTCAGCCTTTAGTCGTTTCGATGACAGTCGTCTTCGTTAACTACTCCTCAACACCCCATCAGTACAGTCTTGTTCGCTACGGATGATAGGGCGTGTCAGTGCGTCGCCAGCACATTCTCCAGTGGTTGCTGAAGCGGGTAAGCGACAGCAACGGGTGAAAACCGACGATACGACATGATCAGCCTTGTGGCTTGCCGAAAGAAGGAAAAAAAAGCGCCGCATCGAACGCAGCCGCGCTGACACGCCCCATCATCCGCAGCGAACAAGACTGTAGTTGTTTCCATCAGCACACCCACAAACTTTGCTATGCAGTTGATGTGCAAGATAGTTGACTGGGTAACGCGGGCAAAAGCAATTGAGGGGAGATCATCCAGCAGCGCGTCTATTGAGTCTAATTCTTTTTTGCTTTCTAATTCTAATTTCTTCAGCGACCCTGGTGGGGTCGCTCTCTCCCCCCCCCCCCCGCCGCCCTCTCCAGCTCCTACCTCCGCCTGGAAAAGGTCTCCAGTAGTCTCTGTTCTCTACTGTTATCTCTGCTAGTGCTCCGCGTCTTGATGTCTTTCGCCGCTCTATACACCTACTCTTCTGACGCAGGCTCTGGGCGAGTATAGTGCACCGCATAGTATAATCGATAGCGGCGGGGCACCGCTGTCGTTACGGGAAGGGGGGGGGGGGGTTGGGGAGCAGGTATGCCCCACCCCCTCCCGCATAATGACATGCAAAAAGGCTAGAAGCAGAGAGACGAGAGGTATTGGTGGATTTTCCGGCTGAGAGCAGAGGTTTACCGAGCAGGGTGCAACATGGTGGTGTGGTGGGCAACAATTCCACCAAAGTTTTGTCATCAAGCGGGAAAGGGGAATAGAGCGCGCGAAAGTGAAGAAACTAACAATCGGGATTTTTCCCACCCTCCCACTCGTCAAACCCATCCAGCCTGACACGCCCCTTGATCCGCAGCGAAAAAGACTGTAGGATTCCAACAGATCATTTAAAGTATTCCTACCTTGAGTTAAAAACGACGAGCAAATTGGAGAGGTCAACGATGTAATTTATATACGGACCAATAGACTCAATTATTTTGTCTTCAAACGTGTTTAGTAGAAGAGCGGCTACATTACAAGCAATGAATAGGAGTACGACCAATATCTAAAAATCATTAGGAGATTACTGTGACCCTACAGTAGTCCTATGCTATTTAGACTTCAGGTGCTCACCAGAGATATCGTGTCTCCAGCACTCGTTCCTCCTCCTGCACCAAATATTGATGCACCTGAAAATTCGGGAAATTATTGCACTTTATAATATGTTTAATGTCAGGTTATCCTTCGATTGCTGCTACTCCGCGCGCAATTTCGTCGCTCGCCGCGCACGGGGTGATGCGGCGGGATTGAGCGGCGACTTCGGGGCGACCAAGAACCCAAATGAAATGGAAGGTATTGATCGACGTACCAATAATGAACGTATTCAATATGACTAGTATTATTAGAGGGCCAACTGCTAAGAATATAGCATACATATACTTGTAATATATTTCTTGATACCTAAAAAAGCTGGTTCGAATGATATTATTTAGCGATGAGAGATAAATTGCATTTAAATGCATTGCAAAAACGTAACACTTACAATTCATTGTATCTCATCGTTTCAGGGCAGACCTCCCACGATGACCCTTGGAGGGTTGCATGGTAGCAGTCGATAACAACGGCTTCAAAGCAATGAGGAATATTGTAGAGAACAGAAAATATAAACACAAAAACTATGCAACGACGAATAAACGGCGTTCTAGCGACGGCTCTCTTCACATTGTCCGGCAGGCAGACCTAAAATGGTAGACCATCACAAGGGGATGAAATGTTTCTATTCACTTGTGCAGTATCCTCAAAAATATGTAAAAAACAAAAATGGGAGCCAAATATCTGTTATATATTTTGTAAAATCGCAATCAGGTGAAGCGGTGGGAGGACTGCCTTCGGTTGCCTTGCTCTTCCAGTGGGGATCGGTTGGTGATGGATTTAGGAAGTAAACGGCCAGTATTGGAAACGCGAGGGTCTGCTCATTCCATCCTTCCTGAAACCGCCCCGCCTGATTGCGGTGTTATGAATTGAACATAATCCGCCCAAACAGGGTGCGACAGGTGGTGCTTCAAAAGTGGCTGTAAGGCTATTTAAAGGCAGTCGGCACGATGGTTGGTGCTTGGCCTAAAATGCTAGTAGGGCGCTATATAGTGGGGAAATGGCGAAAGAACGGAGTGAAACGGTCAAAATCCTGCGAAGAAAGAGCCTCCGTTCTCACTGTGTTAGTAATCAATTTTGGACGAGTTTCCCGTAGGCATCTTGCCAATAACCGCTACCGAAGGTACGGCTGCATATGTGTACTCATATATCCATGCAGCATCACGGCCGCTTCATACCAATCCCTTCGCTTCATAATTTGCTTAGCAAATGAATCAATTAGAGCGTCAGGAACGGTCGTCCATTTGTGGGCGGGCGGGCGTTTGGGTCGGTATGTTGTGGCTTGATAGGGCCCTTATAAGGGCACCTCCTTGGAAAAGGCATTATGCAGCGCCTGCTCAGGGTCGCGGAATTCCGTCCTGCCAGGCGTATTAATCCTACTCGTCTTGGGGGATTTATCGTGCCAACTGCCCTTAGAGCCCAGATATACTACTACTGATCAGCTAGAAAGGGTTCATAACGTGGTGCGCGCAGTAAGTGGGCGCCAGCCAAATATAGTATTGATACAATATCCAGAAGATGGAATGGAGAGCAGAAAAGTACAAAGACGTTCAAAACCTTAGACGGAGGTGTTCTCGAGTTGTGATTCGATGCCTAGTTTTGTTTTTTTTCAGCGATTTTACAGTTATTTTTCTCAATGACTTTCCTTGCTTGGATAGTTCACTTTATCCCCGAACCCGTTCTTTCGAAAACTGTTCGATCACCTTTTTTTGATAGAAACACCCTCGTCGTCAGCAATTTTCATTTCATCTGTCCCACTTGTCATTGTGCTTATACTTGGACGATGTTCCATACTACCGTGAGCTAAAGAGTTCGTACCGCTCATGTCGCGCACGACACTGTCAGAGTTCACCGCCGTAACCACAGGGGTTGCCGCTGGAGCAAGGGACTAGCTCACTTCACTTTGCAGTTTCAAGAGGACAAGGAAGTGGTTTGGGAAAAGGCGGTGGGGCAACTTCCGAAACTCCATGGAAACAAAAAAAAACTGGCGTGGACAAAAATACGCATTCAGTAGTGCCACTGGAGGTTCGTCATTGTTAGGCTCCTACTTTTCGAAAAGAGGCAGAGTAGAGGAATGCACAACGATATAATGTTTCCTCCCCCCCCCCCCCCCCGCCGC